ACCCCTCCTTGGGTTTCCGAGGCAGTATCACTAAGGAAGTAGATTGCCCCATCTTCCTTCCAAGGAGTGGCTGGTGGGTTTGAACTGCCAGCCTTTTGGTTAGCAGCCAAGTGCCTTATTTTTTAATGGAGAACTACAAATAAATATATTTTTTTTCCATAAAACTATTTTGACATCATAAAGTCTAATGATACACATCTTAAGACTGCTTTGTAGTTTTTTTCCTGAATATTATGTGCTTTTGTATGCATGTATATGTGTATATATGTACATCCATATGTATATAATAGTTTACATTATGTGTTGTTGATTTAATATGTTCAGTACTAAGTCTGAACAACTTCTTATCATTATCAAGAATAAACATACTAATAGGTAGTTGCAATTTTAGAATTAGAACAAAAATTTGGTTTCTTTTCTCTTTTTACTTTCAAATCACTGTCTAAAACAAAACATTGTGTAAGGGCTGAGCAATCATCTGATTAATTAAGACTACTAATGAAGACCATCTTAAGCCACTCTTCAATGATATCTGATATTAACACTCCATTATTGATAACTGTGAATTCTGTATGAGCATTCTAGATGACTTATTTTTTATGTCATTTTTTTTCCTGTCTTAGAAATTGGTGTCGTAATGCCCAAGGCATTTGACTGCTAAGAAGAAGCCTGGTGGTTCAAACCCACCAGCCACTCCTTGGAAAGAAGATTGGGCAATCTATTTCCATAGTGATACCACCTTGGAAACTCAAGGAGGGGTTGCTATGGGTCAGATCTGACATGACGGCAGTGAGTTTGTTTGTTTGATTTTAGAAGTTTTAATAATACCTGTGTATTTAGAAACATCCACATCTTTAATTGTCATGTTGAGAGTCAACTAAGTGAATTTTGAAGTCAAATACTTCCAAATGATTTACTATTTAAACTGAAAAAAAAAATCTCCTTAAATATGAATAATCATTCAGGCATTATTACCCAAACATCATGTCATTCAGTAAGTAAAGAAAAATATTTATAATCAAAGTGGGGAAATACTTCTTGTATTTGTATCCATGTTTAAAGGATTTTTTCTTTTAATAGAACAAATACATTTCCTTATGGAAAGAATCCTTGCATTGGTCCTGACATCTAAGCCAGAACCAGAAACAAATTGAGCAAGTACCTTGACCAGCTTCCGCTATCCTGATGCACAGGACAGGCGGCTCTCAGCTCATATTCACTTGCAGACAGGCTTGATGAGGTACCATTAAAAATATGTTCCTAGAAGAGAATATAGAGCTCTCCCCTTGCAAATAGATTTAGTCATGATGATAATGTCTATTGGTCCTTTCATTTTCAATTCTCTTTGCAAAATTTAAGAGGACAAATGTTCCCATATATTCCTGCCTTACTCACTGAATATCACCCTAACATCATATGTAATTATATCCAAAATTTACTTTTTGAGGGGAGAAATAATTTATAGTAATGAGACCTCTAAAATTCAGTGTGGCTTATGAACAATTGTTTAAAATAAAAAGAAATATGTAATCATGTTTCCTGAGGAAATATTATATATATTTAAATTTGGTTAAATAGAAAATTCTATCCCATTCTCAATGATGTGACACAAATCCTTCTAAGGGTGTCTCTTTTTCATTTATGCTATACAGTAGGTGCAGAAAAAAATATGTAAAACACAAATTACTAAACACATAAACTCTTCCCCCCATTTAATGATTAGTAACATTCAGCAGTTTAACCTGCTGTGAATTTCTATTATGATGGTCTACAGTAAACACAGAGTTAAAATTACTGTATTACTGTAGTATATGCCCTCATGACTCAACTTTATGCTGTCATGAGTCACCTGACTTGATGTCCAATGATAGCAACATAGGACACTGTTCAATATTAAACAGTCCAATGAAGATTTATTCTAAGGGCTAGTGGTATCTTTCCATGTCTTTTTATTCTGTCTTTGTGGTCTGGTGCCTTTTCAATCTATATCAAGTACTGATGTTTAATGGAAAAATACTGGGATTTGGAATAGAGGTCCTGGTCATAATTTAGCTTTTGCCCTCCAACAGCTGTTTGTCCTTAAATTTTCTCAGGTAATCAGTAGTCTTGAGAATTAGAGATGATTTGTGTATCACTTTGCTTACTTGGCACTCAATATTTTTTGAATGATTATTATTATTGCAATTATGATTTTTTTTTATTTCTGTTTCCAGATTAATATATTTCCTTTCTGGATTTCCATGTTAAAAGTGACATACGAATTATCAGTTGATTCTGACTGATAGCAATCCTATGTACAAAACAAAACCCTGCCTGGTCCTGTGGCATTCTCACGATTGTTGATAGGCTTGAGACCACTGTTGCAGCCACTGTGTCAATCATGTCATTGAGGATCTTCCTCTTTTAAAGGGATTGGTCCCTCATGGTAACATGTCCAAAGTATGTGAGATGAAGTCTCGCCATCCTTACTTATAAGGAGCATTCTGCCTGTACTTCTTCCAAGACAGATTTGTTCCTTCTTCTGTTAGTACATGGTATATTTAATATTCTTCATTAACACCATAATTCAAAGGCATCAATTCATCTTGGTCTTTTTTATTCATTGTCTAGCTTGTGCATGTAGATGATGTGATTGAAAACATCATGGCTTGGGACCTAGTATCTTTGCTTTTAACATTTTAAGGAGGTCTTTTGCAGCAGATTTGCCCACTGAAATATATCATTTGATATCTTGACTACTGCTTCCATGAACATTGATTCTGAATCCAAATAAAACGAAATCCTTGATAACATCATTTTTTCTCAATTTATCATGAAGTTAATTATTGGTCTGGTTCTGAGGACTTTTGTTTTCTTTATATTGACATATAATCCAGACTGCAGCCTATAGTCTTTGATCTTCATCCATACATGTTTCAAGTCATCCTCGCTTTCAGCAAGCAAGGTCGCATGATCTTCAGATCACAGGTTGTTAATGAGTCTTCCTCCAATCCAGATGCCACATTCTTCTTCATATAGTCTAGCTTGTTGGATCATTTGCTAACTACACAGATTGAATAAGTATGGTGAAAAGATAAAACCTAGATGCACACTTTTCCTGATTTTTAATGACACTGTATCCCCTTGTTCTGTTCAAACAATAGCCTCTTTGTTTATGTACAGGTTCTTCATGAGCACAATTTAGTGTTCTGTAATTTCCATTCTTTGCAATGTTATCCATAATTTATTATGATTCACATAGTTGAGTGTCTTCTTATAGTCAATAAAACACAGATAAACAACTTTCTGATATTGTCTGCTTTCAGTCAAGATCCATACAACATCAGCAATTATGTCCTTCGTTCTAAATCCTCTTGTGAACCCAGCTTGAATTTTTGGCAGTTCCTTATCAATGTATTACTGCAACTGTTTTAGAATTATCTTCAGGAAAGTTTTATTTGTGTGTGAAATGAATGATTTTGTTTGATAATTCCTGCATTCCATTGGATCACATTTCTTTGAAATAGGCACATATTTGGACCTCTTCCAGTGGATTGACCAGGTAGCTGTTTTTCAAATTTCTTGGCACAGAAAAGCGAGCATTTCCAGCACTGATTCTGTCTGTTGAAACATCGCGATTGGTACTCCATCAATTCCTGGACCCTTCTTTTTTGCCATTGCCTTCAGCACATTTTGGACTTCTTCCTTCAACATCATTGATTCTTGATCATATGCTACTTCCTGAAAAGATTGAATGTCAACCAATTCTTTTTGGTACAACATAGTGAATTTAATGCCACTGAATTATACACTTTAATATGGCAGATTTTTGTCATATGTATTTTACCATAATAAAGTTAGAAAAAGGGGATAAACTTTTTTTTTTTTAATTAAGAAAATTAAGGGGTACTTGAATATTTACCACCAGAAATACATACCACACAGTGGTTCAACTGTGACTGTACTACTTCCTGTTCCACACTCTTTGTTTCCAAAGCTGGCAAATGCATCTTCACTTCATCTAATATCATCTTACTTTCCTTTAGACGCTGCTCAAAATTGGCTGGTTTCTGGAATAATCGAAACTTCATGGAAACATCTTGTAATTTTTTCTGTAAGGCAATGTAAAGAAAGCACTGATTTAATTTTGCCTTCCAAACAGTAACAAGCCTTATATTTGTTACTAGATTTACTTTCTTCCTGAAGATACACATGGATAATTTTTTTTACCAATCTTTTTTTTTTCCTATTTGTTCAGCACAAAGAATACGTGCATTTGGAAGAAGAATTTAGTAATTTTTCTTAATGTGATACAAAATGAAAGATCATTTATTAACCTATTTAATCCTTAAGATATACAACACATAAAGAAATCTATATTGATTACATATAATTATAGATTTTAAAGAATGCCCTCAATCCCAATTTTGCTAATGATTAAGTTGCTGCATACTATATTTCACTGTTCAAGGAAAAGTTCCTTGGTTGATTCAGTAACATATACCTGTGCAACATCAATTTGGGATAAGACTCTTTGGGCAGTCTCCTTTCCCTGGTTATGTTTCTTCATTTCTTCTAAACTGATCTCATGACTTGTCAAATCTGACTGGATTTTCTGTTAGGAAGACAGCATTATTATTCAGCATGCACTGTAACTTATTGCAAAGAACAACTCACTTATTTTCCACAAAAGATGAAAATTTGGAAACACTCTTAAACTATTCCTTACAATGGCAGTAATTTACACTTAATAAATAAAATTACAGTAATTTACACTTATCAAAATTGATATGAATTATTTCTTTCTTATGAAGATTATTATGACAAAGAAGTGATCATTTTGAATCAATGGCGATAAACAGTCATTTCAGACATCTTTTTCCATGAGACATATTCAATTATATCTAGTATTTCGAGAAAAATTTCTACATTGTAACTTTCTTTTCTTTTTGAATTTATGCATACATATGACCAAAGAGAGGATATTAATCTTTATAAATATGCTAAATGTGGCAAAGATGATACATAATAGAAAGTTGCATGTGGATCTTATTCCTTAATACTGATCTTTTACTAAGACATTCTGTACCATGTTCCACATAAATCTCAGGGGAAATAAAAAACAAACCCAAAACTATTGAGTCTCGGGAAGGAAAGTTAAATGCCCTGACATTGCTTACCTACTAAATTTCAGAAAAAAATATGGGTCTAGAGAGCAAAAGTTAAATCCTTCAAGTGGCATTGCTTAACTAGTAAAAAAGACTTTATTACTATCTATAGAAATTAATTTTGACCTTTAAATAATTATTAAATGATTACATATTTTCAATATTGAGTAAGGACATTGGTGATCAAGTTCTATGCAAAAATATGTCAGCCTTTGACATATGAATGTCTGACTTAATCATATGGATGGGTCAAATACTGCAGTGTGTAGAGACCAAAATAATAAATTCACTAATTTCTTCCCATCAGATCCACTAAGATCAGCCTGTTGTTGTTGTTATGTGCCGTGGAGTCAGACCCGACTCATAGCGACCCCTCCTTGGGTTTCCAAGGCAGTATCACTAAGGAAGTAGATTGCCCAACCTTCTTTCTGAGGAGTGGCTGGCTAGTGGTCAAATTATTCTGACTTAAAAGTCAGTCATTGGCAGATTATCTTAAATGAGTAATTAATTTTAACCATAGTACTCATAAATATTCTCAAGCAAAGTAATTTGTATAATGCATATTGTTGTTATTGTTATGTGTGATTGAGTTGGTTCTAATAGGCAGTTGGGTACAAAAAAAGGAAATGTTGCCCAGTCTTGCACCATCCTCACAGTCTTTGCTTTGCTTGGGCCCTTTGTTGAAGTCAATGTGTCAACAAATATCGTGTAACAAAACTAACATCAATTGATTTGAATTTTGGTACACATTATTAGAAAATAAAATCAATTTTTCTTAACAGTTACTATAAATAACTACAGCAGAGAACAGAATGATTAAAATTATCCCAAGAAAATGGGTTAGGTGGTAGAAGGAGTTATTTAGAATGCAAGGTTATGAATTCACAGATAAACCTTAGTGTTCTCCCCTTAACATAATGATTATAACAATTATAAAGGCAAATTAATTCCAAATTACTTGAGTAATTAGAATTCTGGCTTTAAATAAACAAGAGCAAAGACTCATGTGAATGCATACTATTTTTTACATTATACTTTGTGTGAGAAATAGTGACAGATACTAAATCCAGGAACTACAGAATTTAGGGTTTAGGAATCCCTGCAAATTCATATTAACATTGTTTACAGAGCAGGAGATGCTAATGTGTCTATAGTGCTTAATGGGGTATGTAGAGTGGAGTGACACATACAGAAGAGTTAATAGATGTCCCAGAAGACTGATCTTAAAGTAAGGCCCTGAAAAATGAGTTAGCATTGCTTGGTATACCAGAGTTTTTTGGACCATCACAAGACACACAACCTATCAGTAGAGAAATGCTCACCTGTCTCTGCCACATTACCCTGACCCTTCCAAATCATGGATGGTTAGAACTTGGACAATGCTTGTGCCATGATGCCTGTTAACCCCTTTTCACTGAGTCAATTCTGACTCACAGCAACCCTATACCAGAGTAGAAATGTGCCATAGGGTTTCCAAGGCTGTAATCACTTCATATTTATGCAGAAGCTGGACAATGAATAAGGAAAGCCAAGAAAAATGGGTGCCTTTGAGTTATGGTGTTGGCAAAGAATATTGAACAGACCATGAACTGCCAGAAGAACATACAAATCTGCCTTGAAAGAAGTACAGCCAAAATGCCCCTTAGAAGTGAGGATGGCAAGACTTCATTTCACACACTTTGGGCATGTTATCACCAGGGACCACTCCCTGGAGAGGACATCATGCTAGGTAAAATACAGTGTCAGTGAAAAAGAGGAAGAGCCTCAATGGGATGTATTGACACAGTGGCTGCCACAATGGACTCAAATATACAGTGATTGTGAGGATGGCACAGGAGCAGGTGGTGTGTTGTTCTCTTATAGATAGAGTCACTATGAGTTGGAACTAACTCGAGGGCATCTAACAGCAACCAAGAATGATCTTTATGGAAGCAAGGGGTCATATCTTTCTCCTGTGGAATGGCTAGTGGTTCTAACTGATAATCTCTTGGTTAGTAGATGATCACTTTAACCACTGAATCACCAGTGCTCTTTGTTCCAAGATTGTTGTTGTTGTTGTTATGTGCCGTGGAGTTGGACCCGACTCATAGCAACCCCTCTTTGGATTTCCGAGGCAATATCACTATGAAAGTAGATTTCCCAACCTTCCTTCCGAGGAGTGGCTGGTGGGCTTGAACCGCAAGCCTTCTGGTTAGCAGTCAAGTGCCTTAGGCACTATACTACCAAGATAAAACTACCAAATTCTCTCTCAGAAATTTAACACTGGCTGGAGCAAGACTCCGTTAGCGTAGTGCCTAAGGCACTTGACTGCTAACCAGAAGGCTGGCGGTTCAAACCCATCAGCCACTACTTGGAAGGAAGATGGGGCAATCTACTTCCATAGTGATACTGCCTTGGAAACCCAAGGAGGGGTCTCTATGAGTCGGGTCCTACTTGATGGCACATAACAACAACAACAACAGAGCAAGACTGGTCAAAGTCTGTGAGTACTTGGAACTGTATCATATATGCTAGAATCTGTGCTTATGAAGTCCCTAGTTTTCAGTGTTGATTGAGGAGAAACAAGTGTCCAGGTGCAGAGAGAGAAGAAATAAAGAGATGGGAAGGATGGGCAGAAAGATAAATATTGATGGTGATCAATCAGAGCTTGAAATAGTATTTTCCAAAGAGGTCTGCAAAAATAGCTCCCATTCCACATTCCCCTTACCTTTCCCACATCCAAAAGTAGAAATGGTTTGTTCACTTCTTTGAAGGTATACAGGCCCTTTAATTGCATTAATTAATGGAATACAGTAAAAGGGATAATCTGTGAATTATAGGGGGAAAAAACAACGTTTCCTGGTCTGACAGCTTCCACTTCTGCCACTTTGGAGCACACTCTTAGGATGCTCCCTTTTGAAACTAATTCACCGTGTTCTGAGAAGGTTTGGCCATATGGAAAAGCCATAGGTCATGTTGCTTTAGTAAACCCTCTCAGGTGCATTTTCAGCTGACAGCCAGTATGAACTGATAGTCATGTAGTCATGTTAGTGAGCTATCCTGGATGTATTGTCAAGTTGATCTTTCAGCCAACGAGTGAGTACAATCACATGAGAAGCAACAGGAAAGAACCATTCAGTGGAGTCCTTTCAGCCTACAAAACTATTTGAAGTGATGCTAAATTGCTGTTAGAAATAACCAAAACACAGCACATAGTCTCTTTCTGAGTCAAAACTTTATTTTTACCCTTGGGTTTCATGAGACTTTCCTTTATCCTTGTGACAACCCATTGTCTTGCATTTTTGTTTTGGGGCTAGTTGATTCAATTTGGTGGCTGTTACGTGCGCCTAAGAGTTCTAAGTAGTATACTAGATGTGAAACAGTATGGGACTGGTAAAAATAAAAGCATTTCTGGTTGAAAGAAAGACCATGGAGATGAGACAGTGAACAACATGAAGAACGTGGAAGAGCTAAAATAATGCATAAAGAGTAAGTGCAGTATTGGCAGAAATACGACCAGATATGTAGACAAGGATTAGATATTAAATAACCTCATGTCCTAAATAAATGGCTTTCAGTATTTTCAATATAAAGATAATTTA